TTGCAAGAAAATATTTTAGTCATTTTTCTCCCTCCCCTTTTGCATGGGGAAGGAAAGCAGAGGAGGATACAAAGCAGGCGGTTTTGTTTGCTGAACGTATCAGGAGAAGAGAATTCCAAAGGAGCACGGTGCAGCACAGCTCCCAGCACATCGAGGTGTCTTTGTGGGGCAGATGAACACCTCAGAACCTCCTTTGCCGTAGGAAAGCATCTAGCTCACTGTGTTCCCTTGCATAAGTTTCCCCACAAGGCAATGGATAGATGTGAGGGCAGAGTGCCAGGGGGTGCCCAGCACAGGGCTCCCATCGCTGCCATGCAGAGCAGGACACGACCACTCATTGACTTGAGGGTACAGCTTCCAGCTGTTGGTGGCTTTTAGAGCATCCCAGCTCAACAGCCGTCCCCCCAGGCAGCCCTCCTGCAGCCACCATGGACAAGCTGTGACACTCATGGCACAAAAAGCCCAGAGTTTTTGGGAAGCAGCGCACTACCCAAATGCATTTACCATGGAAACCCGGCTCCAGGCTGGTAGCCCCGGTGGAATCTGCCATTGGCTCCAGCTATGGAGGAGGCAGCCTGGACAGTAAAATCTTTCAATGTGAATGGTGCCGACCAAGCAGTCTGGAACTGATCTGGTAGTGCTTTTTGAGGCAGCCAAACACGCTGCTTTATCCTGTAATTATTCACCCGCTTCCAGACAGCACAATGTGGAAATGCTGAGCCAGTCAGCACTCCCAGCCCTTCTTCACCTGAGGAAGTCAGGCCACAGAAGTTAGGGACAGCAGAGCAGCAGCTTTCCTAATGTATTTTTGGGGAGGTGGGAAGCAGCACATCAAACCCTCCCTGCATCAGCTCCAGGAGTGCTGGAGGTGGGGGCCTGCTCAGCTCAAGACAACACCAAAGGAATGGCTCTGCTGAAGCTTTTCAGACGAATCTATTAAGCTGTACGTGTCAATTGGTTTTGGCTGAAGCCAGATCCATAGAGGTCACACTTATAACCCTCCCCCCAAATCTGATCGCTCCCCAGCCCCATCCTGCACTGCCATCAAATTCACCGCCTGTGAATTTGGCTGCCTCAAAAACCTGGGCAAAGGAAGCAGAGACGTGGGCCTTGCACAGCCTGTTTGGGTACTTGCAGACACTCAAATTCGTGAGGGATTCAGTTCAAATCCCAAAACACCACCCAGCACCGGGTCAGCCACCAGCCCAGCACTCCCTGGGAGCCACCGTGCCATACACCATGCCTGAGCCAGCACGGGGCACAACGACGTTCCCAGTCCTATCCAGCCTCCCTCTTCTCCTGCACTGCAACAAGCCGTTTGCCACCTCTTCTCTATCTGTATCCAATTGCTAGAACAGCTTCGCAGCACTTCGGGGAGCAGGAGGGCAGACACCCAAAGCGCTGCGATCCACCCCGCGGCTCCGAGCCCGAGGACAGCGAAGTCCGCCACCGGCGGAGCCACAGCGCCACCAAGCGGCACAACGTCAGCGCCACCCGGCGGCCTGAGCCACAGCGCCACCTATCGGTCATCGCTGCTCTGCACCGCTCACATCGCCCGGCACGTGTTCTCCTCCAGCTGGGAGGAGGGCATCACTGGCATTTGCAGGGAGCAGACGACACGAGGTTCGCGAGTACTTTTCCCTCCCCCCCCCCTTCTGGTAATTACCCATCACCCTGTTGCTTTGCCAGTGAACATCTCGGAGGAGAGCAAGGCTCCTCCTGCATTGACAGCTCCATGTTCTTGCAGCAATCCGTGCTCCTCATGGGCAGCCAAGGGCCCCCACCACTTCCTGCAGGTATTTACAGGAGAAACGGAAAAGAAAGGACCAAGAGTGCTCCAGGGATGTTCTCCAGATGCTCAGGCACAGGGCAGGGATTGCCCTGCTGGGATCCATGTCCTGGCCCTCCCTGAATCTGGGCAATCACCACCTGAATCTGCAGCAACAGCAGCTCCTTGCAAAGCTAACAGCTGTGCTTCAGCAATAGCAGCACCAAACTTCCCAATCAAAGCCAAGAGGAGATATCTGATGAAGAGAAACAGAGAGAAATCCTCCCATCTGTCACACCCAAAGCACTGATGAGCATCAGAAAGTTACTGTTTGTATTCACTCTTAACTTTTTATTTCTTTGGACTTAGTTCCATTGAGGGAAGTGGAACGGAAGTGTTTGTTGTGAATGGAGATTCAGTTTTGTCCAAACACATTTCTAAGGTGCACTTCTAAACACTTTTCTGCCCTTCCCTTGCCATGGTCACAATTGCATTCTGCAGCTACAGCATCCTTTCCACAGCCACTCTCTTCTCTTTCACTATGTGAAGCACCCAAAAATGCTCTGGCAACCTAAACCTACACAGATTCCCCCACAACAGTTCACCCAGAATAATAATCTGTGGTGACACACACACCCCACTTACTCTCTCTTCTCCATTCCTCCCAGTCCATCCTAGAAGCCACACCACAGCTTACAGCACACGAGGATGCCCACTTTGGTCCTCGTAATCCCAGCAGAAAGAGGCACAGCTGAGGACGCTGGAGCCCAGCAGCCCACACTCAGAGCCATTCAGTCGGAAGGAACTGCAGAATTCGTTTTTTTTCCTCAGCCTTGCGCAGAAGGTCTGGCAGACCTTGCTAACCAGCGCCCATCGCCCCGCCGCCGGGCGCACAGCGCGGCGCAGCCCGGCCCAACGCGGCCGCCAGGTGGCAGCGCGGCCCCGGATCGACCCCGTTGTGCCGCTCCGCCCGGGGACGGATCTGAACGACGGCAGCTGGGAAAGGTTCTGAGTTATCTCCGCCGCAAGGAGTCGTTAGCAGACCGAAAAGACTGATGGGGTTTTGCGACTTAAGCAACGTCTATGAGTTTTTACTGCTTGCAAGCGGAGGTAAGGTTCTCTGTAGGGAGATCCCGGTTAAGTCTTCCTGCAATTCCCAGGGAGTGCAATACCAGACAGAACTGACAGCCATCGAGACATGCAGTGTCTCAGGAGAGTGACACCCAAAGAGAAAGCAGGGCTTGGTGCATTGCTTTCACACAAGTGGAGAGAGCAGCCAAGCCGCTAGTGGAGATCCTCATTTACAGTTCACCTCTCAAACAGCTGAAGATAGCAAAGCAAAGCCAGAAATACCAGCCTGGACCCTTATTGCACAAGCTGTTAGAGATCCAAGCTGCATTACACTTGTTTGGGGTGGAGTCTCTGCCTTGCCTTACCCCAAGGAGCTCTGGTCTCAAGCTGCTGTAATACCAACAAACGCAAGTGTGTGATATCATCCCCTCTCCCTGTAGTTCAGGGACAGGAACCAAAGGACTCGTGTTGCAAGGAGATAAACTCAAGTGCTTGGTACATTCAGATGCTCATTGGGAAAACCACAACCACAAGGCTCTGGGAAGAGACAGAGCTACGTAACAGCACCAGTCAGATGCCAACAGAGGAATTGAAAACATCTGAGCTGGGAACATCCCAGCTCTGCTCAGATAGCTGGGTGGGAGCAGTGCAAAGTGAGCATGAGCCAGATGCCTCTTCAGGTTTGCATTTGCCTTCTCCATCCATACTGAAAAGCATCCAGCTGGCAGAGCTGTCTCTGGAGAGGACACACCACATCCTCTCCTGTATTTGCATTCAGGCAAAAAAAGAACAGCATCTTTATATCTCCTGTTTCCCTTCATCCACACTGGTGCAGAAAACTGCTCAGCTGCTGCAGAACACACAGCTGCACTGCCCCTGAATAGACACCAGCACAGACCTCACTCCCATCAGCCTGCATCAGACTTTTGGCCTGACTGAGCACCAACAAGCAGTAACAGATGAGCTCTAACCCAAAACAGAAACGTACTTTATTTTAAGAAGTTTTTCACAGCAGCAATTTTCCCTTTGTTCATCACATTTCTCAGCTTTATTCTCCCACACCAAAGCTCACTTCAGAGGAAAACACATGACAGAAAGCAGCCTAGGCAGAGTGAACCACAGCATCATCTCAAGAAAGCCATTTCTGCTCTATGCCCCAGAAATAAATGGGATCCACCTCAGCTCAAAGCAACAGAGCACCTGCAGGCTTAAAGCCTGTGCAGTAAACAGGGACTAAAGGGGAACATCCTCCCCAGAGCACATGTGGACCATGAAAGTTATGTTCTATCAGTGGGTCAGTCTCAGAGGAAAGCCAAAAAACAAAATAACTGCATTCCCCTCTTGGCAATGGGCAGCACAGAAGGCTGGACCAGGGCCCAAGCAAAGGTCCATGAGAGATGGCACAGGAGTCTGAAGTGCTTTGGGGCACAAAGCCCCAGGAAATGCTCTCCAGGACAGCAGGAGAAGCCCCTCTCCCCCAGCACAACAGTCACCAGCTCACCCAAGCCAGAATCCCTGTGTTAATTCCCCATCCACAGCTCCTCCCGCAGAGCCCCTTGGGCACATCTCAGCATCCTGCTGATGTCACTGCCGACACCAACCCGCCCATAGGAAAAATCAAAACACACACCAAAGGCCTGGCATCATTTTCCAGCATTCCCCTGCCTTCCCCAAAGTGGATTTGCTGTTTCAAGGAGGCTTACAGCTCACCTCCCTCTGCCCACTCACTCACAGCTCACCTCCCTGCACTCGCTCCCCCCCTTGAGATGAGCCCCACACTGTTCCCAATAAGCCTCACAAGTGGAAGCCCCCCTGCTCACCCCACATCTCCCACCACCCGCTATGACACACTTACAAGCACAGCAAGCCAGCAGGGTTCCTCCTTTCCAGGGAAAGGAAGAGAAACCTGCCTGCGGGATGCTGCACTCCCACTCCTTTGTCCATTATTCTGCAGTAACCTCAGAAAGAAAGCACGAGATTTCAGGCTCAGACAGTGCTAAAAAGATCACTGAAGTAGGAGATGAAAGCCATGTTAGCTTTCCAAAGCAAACCTCTATCTACTCCATTGCTCCTGGAGTAGAGGTAACTAAGTCTCACATCGTTTCCCAAAAATGGAGGAAAAAATATCTTAAAAAAGAAGGAAATCAAATCCTTGACTCACCTCGGAGCAGCAGGATATTCCCACACGTGTGTATGGATGTGGTCTTCTCCCAGAGTGCTGCAATGCTGAGAAATAGTAGCCCAAAAAGGAGAGGTGTCTGCAGCGCTGAGCTGCAACTGCAGCTTTCTACATTTGTAAGTCAGGTGATCTCAAACACCAAAGGCAGTTGCACGAGTAGAGGAAAAGCTGCCATGCTGGCTGAGCGATGCCAAAAGAAATAATCCAGCAGATTTAGAGGAGCAGGTGTCTGTGGCCACCTGGCAGCAGCGCGCATTTCCAGCTACAGGCAGAAGGGTGCATCCAAAACCCACAGCAGTCCAAGAGGGCTCCAGATGTGAGATCCCAGCAGACAGAAGACATCAGGATAAATCCTCCTTGCTTGGCCAAGGGGGAAAAGTCCCAAACCCACACATGGTCAGGCTGATTGTGCCTTCTCTCTTCCAGGTACAAAGGACACTCCAACAGCCATCACATCCATCTGCCCATCAGGATGGCAGTTACCAAAACCTGCAGAGAAACACGTGTCAGGATGAAGGAACAGCAGTGACCTGCAGCAGGTCCGACACACAGGAAACAACCCGGCCACAGAAGGAGGACAATTTCTCAGCAGGACAACACGGCCATGCACCCTGCAGTGGGGCAGGGAGCAGAATTCCCCCACTGCAAGGATGCCCTGATGAAATGAGCACTGCAGATGTGCTGAGCCCTCCTGTGGGTCTGCTCAGCTGGAAATCACACAGAACCCACTGTCCCTTGGCAGGGGACGCAGCATCTTCCACCCTCAAAAGCAAATAGAAGTCACTGGAACGCTGTCACTGCAGCACACAGGATTCCATAAGAGGGATTTTGATTTAGCACTTGTCTGATTGATGGCTCCACGCTCACAAGCACTACAGCATGTGTGCATGCACAGCACTTTATGGGGATACACTGGGACTGCCCCGCTTCGTTAGGGCGCTGCTGCTCTCCAGCACAAAGTCCGTATTTGTTTCCCTGCAGGGGTGGAAATAAAGGGGGTTTTGTATTTTCTTCCTCTTCTCTTTGCAGGCTGGAGTGAGTTTATTTGACACTCCAGCACTCTTTGTGCGCTGAGTGCCCGAGGATAAATGCTACCCTTAAGAGTTACTTGGCGTTAGACAGAGGGACCCTCTTCAGAGGAGAATGGGGGTTTGTTGGGATGGGGCGGGGGGGCACAGGGGAGGGGGCCTCTGAAGAGTTGCCTATGCAGCCCTCATAGAAGGGTCTCTGTCCTGGGCCACAATAGAGTGAATTCTTAAAGATACCGGGAGCTGAAAGGAAGGAAGGAACTTTCCTCCCTTTAAAAAGGATTTTGGGGAACAATTGGAGAAGCTATAGAAAAGGGATCATTATTTCCCATCTAGGCTGTTGAACTGGAAGCCCTCCCTCCCCCTCAGCTGGGCAGATGTGATGTTTGCCATAGGAACACACAGGACCTGGGGCCACTGTCACCACCCGGTTCCTTTTTTCCAAGGGAGCTGTGATGCCACTGCAGCTTGGCTGGTGAGCTCCAGGTAATTCTACTCACAGCAAAATTCAGTGTTTGCATCAAACACATGTATGCCAAACACTTGCAGTGCCCACATCCAGCTCTTGCTGCCCTGTGTCTGAGCAGGATGCTCAGTGCACACACCTGCAGGCTGCACTGCAGCACCACCCACAACCCAAATGTGGCTGCTTTTCCACCCCAAAATTAGCCTTGCTCATCACTGTCCCCCCAGAGGGTGACATCATGCCCTCCTTCAACATGCAGGAAAGAGGAGATGCTGGCACCATGTGCTCCAAATAAAGCATGTTACAAAGCTGCAGCTGGCCACAAAGCAGGCTGATGGAGAACAACCCCCCCTGCAAGCAAGATTTGTCCATAGCCACCAGCCTTTCCTGCTGTTCATTGAGGTGCCAGCACTCAGCCACAGGCTCTGCTGGGGGGCTCCCAGGAGCAGCCAAGCAGGGTTTTCCTGTCTTGGAAACACAGAAAAGCCACTGCCAGCTTCATTCCTTAAGCCTATTTGCCACCAATAGGCATTTGGGCACGGAGCTCTGAGTGAGCCAAGCTGCCTCTTGGTGTCAGCAGCACCCAGGTGCTGCTCATCTCCCTCCCATAGGTGCTGCCTACCCAGGGATGAGCCAACCCCAGCACTGAGCTCATCTGCATGGGAAGATGAGCAGGAGAGTTCCACCTGCCAAAAACCAGTATTTAACACATATCCCAAAGGAATGTTCCCTGCAGCATTCTTCCCAACCCAAAGCCTCCATGCAGTAGCATGCACCACGCAGCAACCTGCTGTCACAGTGCATTAGGAGTTGTCTTAGACTGAGCTCCACTGAGAGCCATCACTGGGCACTGCCTTCTGAGAGAGCACGGGCAGTTCTGCTGCAGCTATACCAGACCATTGACAGCTCCAGGGGCAAGAAGGGCCTTCAGAGAGCTTGTCCCAATTTAAAACCCATCCTGGGCTGGGCTCTATTTCTGCTGGAAAGCTGCATAACCACCCAGGGAATCAAACATTTATTTCAAGGCTTGGGTTTTAACCCTCCAGCTGCATTGCCTGCTGCCACAGGAAGGGAAAACCAGCAGGAAAAGGGGGGAAAACAAAGCACTAAAAGCAGAGCAGGACACGAAGCCACACGAAACCCAGCTCTGTCCCCAGGGGCTAATATGGTAACGCCCCGTAAACCCTAATCCTGTGTTAAGAGTTCTCATCAAAACCCAACAGTATTTACTACCTCCTTTAAGTCCCTAATAAAAGGGTTTTCCTGCAGTGTTTACACTAACAGAGGGGACTTTACGCCAGCATTTGCCCTTTTATTATTTTAAATTCATCTTTCTGATGAAATAAGCCACTCTGAACAAGGCTGCCCTTTGTAATGCCATTATAACTTTCTGGCCAGCCGTGGTAACTGGCAAAGCACCCTGCTTTCCTTACCCTCCCTTTTGTTGCTTTTCCCTTCTACTCGAAGGTCAAACAGGAGAGCCCCCAGTGAGCTGCATTGTGCTGCTGCCTTATCCCCCCATTGTCTGGGGCCTGAGACATCTGATCTCCCAGCACCGAAGGCACTTGGATCACTTTGTATAGAGAAGAGTTCCTGGACAGAAGAGCCCATCTCAAACCCTCTGGTAAAGATGAGCCAATTGCTGTTAGGAAACACCCATCCCACTGAGGAGAGGCAATGCTCCTACATTAAGTGTGTTTGAAACCAAACACAAGAGGAACACACGGCCATGTCCAGCCCTCAGAGCATCTCAGAGCCCAGGCTCCCATATTTCATTGCTGTTCTTCACTACATTCAGAGGTATTTGTCTCAGGTCCCAGTGTCCTCTGAGCCCTCTCTAGCTGCATTACACTGAGGCCGTCAGGTACACATGAGCTGCTCTAAATACTAAACCCACAGTTTAATTTATAGCTAATCATCCAGCTGCTTACATCCCCTACAAATGACTGTGACTGCCAATCCTCTCTGGTTCAGGGCAGCTCTCTTCTTCCATACTCAAAAGGTGAAGCTGCCTTCCCCAGGCTGCAGGGTGAACCTTGGGGGCTTGGTACAAGCAAAGCCCAGGAGATTTGTGGGTTTAAACCATTTAGGTCACTTTCACCATGGCTTCTACCTCCCCATTGCTGCAGGTAGAAAGATCTGAGCCAGTAAATCAGTGCTGGCAACAGAGGCAGCTGTGGCACCAACATCCCAATCACCACCAAACCCACTTGAACCCACAGGTGGCTGCCAGCAGCACAGCACATCCCATGCCCAGCAGCTTCCCCATGCCTTGCAGAGACTCAACTCCTGCAGCACAGCCCTCCCTGCTCAGGAGACACCATGAAGGGAATGCCCATGGCTGTAACAGTGGCTATAACTTCCCCCTGCCAATGAAAGGGGGGGGCGGGAAGTGCTGTGCTTGCAAAGGGACTTCACACTTTGGGTTACAGGCCCTCTTCTCATCAAGAAGTTACCTCCCAGCTGTCAGGGGGCTGGGAAGGTCCAACCATTCAACAGCACCCCAGGAAAGGTTACTGCCAACCCATGGAATGAAACCTGAGGGGTTGGTTTAGAGATTTGCACGTGGAAAGCAACCAGCAAACAAGCAGCACAATAAGAAAGACAAGTCCAAGCAGTATTAGCACCAAAACCCTAGAGAAAGGAGAGCCCAAGCACTGCAACACCCCGTGTGCCCCACACTGCCACCCCATTAGCATAGGTGTGACCCCACATCTGTGGGAGGATCGAGGTGTGCAGATTTTCCCACCCATCCATAATTTTACATGATGGCTTTGGGACATCAATGATCTCATCACCTGTCTGACAGCACAGAATGAATTGGGGAGGAGGAAGGTGCCCTCACATACACCTCTAAACCGAAAGCTGCCCTTCTAAAAACAGGCAGCATTTCCCCATGCCCGAGTCACTACTCAGCAACCCCCTCTTCCCCCTGCTTCCATCCCACCAGCTGGGTCTGTGATTATAAAAAGATGTCTCAATTAGCAGGAGAGCTGAGCAATTCCTCCCATCTCAAAACCCTTCAGAGGAAATGCATTCCAATCCAGCAGAGAGCCACACTAACAATGTCTGGGCAATAAAAGCTCCTCTTGTTTATATCAAAGTAACCTCAAAAATCCTCTCCCCAAACAAGCATCCATCACCTTCCATACGGATCAGTGGGCTCAAACTGGAAGGGCTGGTGTTGTCCTCAGTGCACTGCATCCCCAGGAGCAGACAGCACTAATTTGTGTGTTATTGGTTGCAGGTCTAGACCGGTGTGGTCTTTTTGTTGTAGTGAGCAAAAGAAGGGACTCATTCATGTTTTTCCAGCATTCATACAAAAGTGCTCTTGTGCATCACAGATACCTCGCATCACCCACCCTCATCAAGTGTTCCCAGCTCCATGTATACAGCACAAGAAGGTGGGAAGAGCCCCGGGCCCCCAGTAGAGGGGGGGGAAAAGGGGGAATTGAGGATCCTCAGGGCCTCCCCTCACCCCAGCCAGGCACCTGCCCACAGCTCACTGCAGTCCCTCTGTAGCATAGAGCCTTTCTACAGAGGTTTTCCCACGGGGGGGAAAAGGGAAAAGTCATAAGATAAAAAATTATAAAGTCTTTTAAAAATGATTAAAAAAAAAGAGAGAGAGAGAGATAATACCTTCACGGTTTTTCTTACAGAGATCCTTGCCAACCCAGCCCCTTGGCTCCCAACCTCGGAGCATCCCCCGGCCGCAGCCCCCGGAGCCACCCGGACACAAAGGCGGCTGAACCAGGGCCGGAACACATCGGAGGCACAGCGGGCCCCGCGAGGAGATGCCCGGGACCCTTCCGATACCCCACACTCCCCGACCCCCAAGCGAGAAGCCTACCTCAGCGGGCCGCCTCCCAGCCGCCGCATCACCCCACCACCACAACCATCCGTGCTCACATCTCCCGGCGGGGACGGACGACCCCGAGATGCTCGAGGGGGGAGATACGAGTGGAAGGGGATCGGTCCGGCATCGCTATCGCTCCCTGCCCAAACAGAGCCCGTACCACCGCACGCAGAGATGCTCCGACTGCGGCGTTTGGGCCATTTCCCCGCTTATAAAGCCCCGCTGGCGACGGGCGGGCGGGCGGCGCTGCTTCACGGGACTTGTAGTTCCTCCCCCGGGCCGGGAGCCGCCTCCCCCCGTCCCTCCCTCCCTCTTTTCCTCCGTCTATGCGTGCGTCCGAAGGGGGGGGTGGAACCTCGGTCCGTCCCCCGGCGGATCCATCCCATAAACTGCGGGTCAATGAGTAACGCCAGCGAGCACTCAGCACCGAGAGCGATCGTTTCAATTGTGCCGTGTATTAGTTATTGTTTAGTTTAATGATTGGCCCAATTATTAATTTAAATTAATGATTAACCCATCTGTGGGATGAATGAGCAATTAAATGTACTGTTGACGTGCGGGCTGATTTAAAGCCCATCCTTGCGAGTAGGCTCCATGCAGGCAAAGCCTGCCCTGTATGCCCTCGTGGGACGGATCCTTCCCCATGCATCTCCCCTCTGCTGTGTGCTTCCCCACGCACTTTTAATTCAATCCCCATTTTTGTACGGCGCAGAAAAATACCCCAAAGGAGACCTCAAGAAGGCAGGTGGCAATGGGAGGACAAACAGCTCTGCACAGCCCCTTTGCAGACAAATTTTAAGCAATGGAGAGGGTGAATGGTACAGAAGGTGTTGGTCGGGAGGGTGACCACATGCTGCTCCAAATCCCATTAGGCTTGGTCTGGGTGAGCCATCTCCCAGCCAGTGGCTGCACAGGGGCTGGGAGCCAACATCCCACCTGCACTGCAAAGGGCTGCATCCTCTGCTGCAGGAGGGAAAACCACAGCAGTGAAACCGCAGGAGTGTTGTAGGACAAGTGAGCAAGGGGCTGAGGGAGAAAGAGGGAGAGAAAAGGGAGGGGGGAAAACCTCCTGGCAGGTTTTCAGGGCCCAAAACTGGAGTGGAAATGCTTCCCTTCCCTTAATTGCTTGGAGACCAGATGAATTTCTTGAAGAAACCGCAGCCGAAATGCTGCACAAATCACATTGTTGTGCTTGTGTTGGCTGCGTTCGGAGGGAGGTAAAAGGTCATCGTTTATGGTATATTAAAAGGAAAATATATATAAATTTTAATGCTGTGGAGGAGGGGTTGTGCTGCTTTTTCATCCTCGCATTCTCTAAATTAAAACCTGTTTGGCAAGCAGCAGAGTGCAACCAGCAGCAAGGAGCAGTGCTGGGAAAAGCTCCTACGCGTGGCACTGCAGCAGCCCCTGCAGCCCCCAGGTGTCCCTTCCTATTGTCCTGCCCAGCCCTGCTCATGGGGCAGCCCTACCAGGGAGCAGCCCTGGTCCTATATGCACAGAAAGACAGACCTAGAACTGGAGCAAAGTAACATCCCGCTGGGCAGGATGTGCTGGGAGCATCCATACGGTGCCCACAGGTAGGATGAGACCCAACGTCCACTGGAGTCCATGAGAAGGCTTCTCGACTGGAGTTACATCTTTGAATGGCCAACATCAGCAGGAAGACCGAGAGCTTGGTGGCACAGAACCACCTGCTCAGATGGCTCTGGATTTCTCCAGGCAAGTTACCATTTTGGTAGCTTCTTTGGGAAGCTTTGCTTCCTTTTCTGCTGTTGTTGCCTCCAGAACAATACGCATACAGGACACACGATGCACTGAAATAGGGTGAAGCACTGGAATAAAGCAGTATGCTGTAACAGGGCAAAGCACTGTAGTAGGGTGATGCACTGCGACGCAGTGATGCACTCTAATGGAGCAGTGCACTGTAAAACATTGGCAAGGCTCTGCTCACAGCCCACCCAGCTCCACGCAGCTCTAAGCACAGGGCTGGCACAGAGGTGAGCGACTCAATCCCAGCAGAGCTTGGCTTTGATTTACTGGAGGATCCCAACTCCAGTTTTACTGAGTGTGAAGTGAGTGCAAAAGGTTTGGGAGATGCTGTGTGTTGCTGCCAGGTGAGCCAGCACCCACCAGGGCTGGAGAATGAAACAGGGCCCTGCATGCCTGTGATCCTGCAAACACAAAGACATTGTTTTATGGGAGAGCCACCACCTCCCCTTCCCAGCTCCTTGTGAGAGGACAGCATTCCTGCCCCGCATTCCTCAGCCGCTGCTGGGATGGGGAGGGGAGAAGGGAGCAAAGCCTTGAGTTTTAATTAGAACAGTGCCCTGCATGGGTGGTGTGGGCAGGGAGTGGAGTCACCATAAAGAGAGATAAAGTGCTGCAGGTCGGGGAATGAGGATCAGTACATGAGAGCCTGCAGACTTCAGAATGTCAGCCAGATGTTCCCAAGTCACAGCAGATCAGTGCTTTCCCAGCTGAAAGCATCCTTTATCCTTGTAGGGCACCTGAGGAAGGAGGGAGGGGTTTGGCCCCACAGCTGCAGAACATGGATCAGTGCAACCTGCAGCCTCCAGCCACGGGGCTCGGAGTTGTTTGTGAGAGCTTTTAAGAGCAGGAAATCCTCTCTGCAGATGGGGAGAGGAGGGATTTGGGCTGAGGATGCATATGGTGCTCTGTGCTCTCAGCCTGGCTGTGGGGCTGCAGCACTACAGGGCTGACACAGCACCAGCATCACATGGGGAGGGCAGTTAGAGATGGGCAACAGCATGGATAAAATGAAAGGGAAATGGGAAGGGAGATGTGGGAATGAGCTCCCATCAGACACGCTCTCTGAAACCTCTGCAAGTCCTCTTCCCTCCAGATACCCTCCCCACATGGGCTAACTGTATAGTGATATATTGAAATATGGGAACAAAAAGCTTTTTATTTCATTCGCCGAGAATGCCAAATGTCCATGAAGGCCAATAAAGAACTGTTGCTCCACGGAATGGTGAGCTGCACTTCAGGTAAAACAAAAACAACCTGAATCGTTGCCCAAAACTTGAATCAACCCCAAAGTTCAAAAAATAAAATAAAATAAAACAACTTGAGGTTTTGTAACAAAGTGCTGTGACATGGGTTTGTTTTTTTCCCTGTTTCTGGGTGACCAGAAGAGGAGCATCAAAGGGTTCTGTGCACAGAGCTGTTCCTGGAGGGGAGAGGGAGAAAACCATTGCTGATAGCAAACGTGGGTATCTGGGAAATGAAGGAGCCATTGGAAGAGGGAGCGATGCCAGAGCAGCTGCTGTGAGTTCTGCACACTCAACATCCCTTCCACCTCCAAGAAAGGCTGTAGGACAAAGGACACAGCCGTCACCTGTTTGCACAGTGACAAAGCCCAGGCAGGGAAGAGCTGTTTAAATGCTGTTCCCAAGGGCACGCAGCAGCCCTGTGGCACAGAGATCCTCCACCTCCCACCTGGGCATCCCAACACAGGGATGGTGAGGGTCTGAGAGACCCCAACAACCTCAGCCCCCAGGTGTCCCCATATGGAGGTGATGGGAGGGTCTGGGTGGAACACGAGGCCAAATCTGCACAGGGAGTGGGGGAAAGAACACCAGCCCATGAGATGCTGACCCTGTGCCAGTGTATCTATGGGCTGTGTTTTATATTTAAGTTAATTTATAAAAACTTTAAGGCTGAAATGCTGTTAGAAGTGCATTGCGCTCTCTGCCACAGAAATTCATGATTTGAGCTCGAAAAGGTGACTCACTGAACATCCATTATAACGAGGAATAAAACCACACACACACACACTGAGCGAGATTTTCAAGGAGCCCCGTGATTTAGTGTCTCTTTCTTTCTCTCCCCACACTTTTTGCCTCCTGCACAAGGATCTATTGAGAAGCTGCAGAACAAACGTTCCCTTATGCAGCTCCAAAAAAGTCTCCGTCAGTTTGTCTGAGACAGCTGCCTCCAAGCACGCTATGGTTACTCATTAACCAGGTCTCCCAGGGCAAGGGGAAGAAGGAGTAAACTTAATAGACCCTAAACCAGTGGCAAAATAATAATAATAGTAATAAAGAAAATAAATAAATCAGGTGTCCTGGAAAAGGAAAGGGAGAAAACAGGTGGCACCAGGAGCACTTCAGTGGGTGGACACGAAGGGTCCTGTGGGGATGGGCAGCCAGAGAGAAGCCCAAAGGGACCAGCAGCACCAGGAGCAAATGCATGGGGACAAAGGAGCGAGAGTATTAAAGGGAAAGAGAAGAAAGAGAGGGGACAGAGAGGCACTTGTGCTCCACAGTGCTTTATATGCTCTGAGTGCTGGGGGAGGATTACTTCATTGCCCGTCTTTGCTCCCCAATGGCTGGGTGCCTTCTCTCCTCCTTACAGGCTTTGCATGAGAATGAGTGGCTGCTGGGGACCGGGGGATGCTGGGGATATGGGGCTGCCTGGGGACACTGGGCTGCTAGGGTTGGCATGCACTCTCCAGTTATCCCCACGCTCCAACATCTTCATGCTGGATCCCAAAGATGGAACATCTTACTCAGCCCTGGGGTGGGTTCTGCCCTGCCCAGGTGAGACAGGCACCTTTCTGCACATCACCATCTCCCCCAGCCCTGCTCTGCTGAAAGCACAGTGTCCTTGGGATATTTGCACCCAAGGATGCAACTTGCAGCCACGTTTCCCCCAGCTCCCACTTTTTGGGGAAGCAGCCAAGCAAACCCAACCAGCCACACATTCCTGTGGGCATGGCACCATGGCAGGGCAGGACAGGGAGAGTGCAGAGCATTGCTGTGAGCAGGGCTGCTCCATCCTCTGCATGTGGCAAAGGGAACTGCGAGATCCTGACAGGAGCAGTAATTAGAGTTGCAATAAAACACCGAATATAGCTGCAAAGAGTGGCAGTAAATCAGCCCCTCCTGCCATTCACTGCCTGGATCTGGAAGCCTCGGTCAACACCAGCATTAATTCCCTGGGCTTTATTTGCCATACGTGCTCTCCCTGGAGATAAGAGGAAGGCAATTGACTGTAATTATCTCCCTGTATTTTGTCATGTGATTTTTTTTTTTCTCTCTCCCCCAAAAACAATTAAGGGATTGCAGGGAAAGGAATGGGGTGGGGATGGAGCAGTGCCAATTGCTCTCCTACAGCACCCAGACCTGCACCTCTCACCCCTATACATGAACCCCTATCTCCTGCATCATCTCCCACCCAGAGCTGCCCATCAGCAAGGATGCACCCAGTCCCATCTGGACCACGAGGCCAGGGTCTGTCAACAGCTGCAGAGGAAGGAGAGGAGAAGGCTGCAGGGCTG